GGGAGTATAACAATAATAAATAATTAATTTAACTCGTTTTTTAAATTATAATGAAATTAATTAGATAAATATTATCTTCAATTCTTTTTATGAGCTACAAATAACCAAATGATATAGAATAAGAAATAGTTTAAATTAATTAAAGATAATAAATACGTAAAATCTGTATTTTCTTTTAAATGTGTTCTTATTATAGAGAGAATAGGTGACAGAGAAAAAACGAAACAAATGGTGAATAATATATAGAAAAAATTGTAACAAGAGAGAATGTGAATGAAAATAGGAAAAGAAATTGCAAGGTGGTGGCTTATTAAGGGGTGCTTGGAACATATGAAAAGTACTTTTTAAAAACATTTTTTTTTTATAAATTGAGATAAATTCTTTCATTTATTTACTTATAAAATTATTTTTAAACTTAAAATTTTGATTTTATCAAAATACTACCTTCGTTCCTTCATATAAGATACCATTGGATTTTTTTTATTCTAAATATAAGATTCTAACCCATTTTGTCTCTCATATTTATATAATTTTTTACAAGATAATCCTTCTCATAATTATAGTTTTAACCAATACACTTGATTAATAAAAATATTTTAGAAAAAATACATATGTGTTGTAAATAATTAATTTAATTTATTTTTTTAATTTTTTTAAACTAGTTAATTAGTTTTTATAATTATGACCAAACCTCGTCCCTGTTTTTTGCGTTGTCTTTCCATCGAGGCCGCTAACAGACAAACTACGTGAAAAACGCCTGCCTCACAGTTTCCTGCCACGTAAACCATGTCCCGTCAAAACAATTGCGACCACTACTCCCTCTCAGCCCTTTTAAGGAGTAGACTGTAAAACTACGTACTCACAAGACGAGTTTTTTTTTTTTTTCACTCCTCCCTCCCATTTTTTTTCACAAAAACAATTGTTTCCAAATGTAAGAAATAATTTTTAAAAAAAATTAAACTTATTTTGTCTCTCATATTTATGTAATTTTTTCTAAGATAATCCTTCTCATAATTATAGTTTTAACTAATACACTTAATTAATAAAAATATTTTAAAAAATAACATATATTTATTATAAATAACTAATTTAATTTATTTTTTAATCTCTTTAAATTAGTTAATTAGTTTTTATGATTATAACCGGAATTAATATATCTTACAGGGTGTTTGGGAATCACAAGAAGTACTTTTTAAAAATATTTTTTTCGTAAATCAAAATAAACTCTTTCACATATTTATTTCGTATATTATAAAATCACTTTTAAAATTATAATTTAATTTTCATCAAAACACTTTTTAATCATGCCTGCAAATAAGCTTCTGCGGCCTCGTCCTCGTTTCCTGCGTTGTCTTTCCATCGAGGCCGCTAACAGACAAACCACGTGAAAAACGCCTGCCTCACAGTTTCCTGCCACGTAACCCATGTCCCGTCAAAACAAATGCGACTGCTACTCCCTCTCAGCCCTTTCAAGGAGTAGACTGTAAAACTACGTACTTACAATTTCATAAAAACAATTGTTTCCAAATGTAAGAAATAATTTTTTATTTGTATCTATATTAAATATATGGTACTTATTATTTCTGTGCAATGAATTTTTACTCTTTATCTCTATACTCTCTTTACAAAATAAGAGTATAATTAAAAAATATGTATATATCATACATATTTAATAAATTTAACTAAATTTAATTAATATTTTGAACAGTATGATTTTGATAATTGTTTTTTATATTTAATAACCAAAAGAGAATCAAATGAAACAAGTTATTTCACTTATTTGAATTCTTGGGGAAGAAAAAGGAATAGAATTGCTAGGAAAAAAATGGGTCTAGTGAAAAAGCGTTAAGGTTGATTCCTTAACACCTTGAAGTATTTATTTAGTATCATAAAATATTTTTCTCAGCATATCTAATATTTTATAATGATTTTGTGGTTGATCCAATATCTAAAATCTTTTTTGAGACGTGTGTGGTATCCTAAATCCTAGCTTTGAATTGGGGCGCTCGACGGGATATTAAATATATTTGAAAAAACACTTCAGAACGTGGCATAAACCACAAATTCAAATGCCTTGGGATCCTAAACAAACGTGAAAAATTACCTGAGAGATGTAAAAACACTTTAATTAATTCATGAGGATACAAATGTGAAATATTATCACAAAAAATACAAATGTATTAATGAGCATGGGACGGATCATGTTTTGGCATTCTAGCCCAGCGTACGGCGGGTGAGCCAGCCAGCCTGGCCGGAGATTATATTCCGATTTAGCTACCACGTGTAACCATAACTATCCGAAGGAATCAAAATGATCAAGGAGTTTATACCAGTACAATTTATTATATTTCTTAATTGTAAATAAAAACATGTTTATAATTATTGCTAGCATCGAATTTTTCACGTTGCGATAATTGTTATTTTAACATTATTAGTTCACCAAATTATAAGAATAATCTGATCATTGTCATTGTATGTGGCAGATCTAAATAAGCATATGATAATTTAATTTAGACTAAGATTATATATGAACACATATATAGACGGTACGATGCAGATAATCTGGTCAAAGATATTATATATAAATATATATATATATATATAATACATATTCTTTTAACATATAAAACTCAAAGTATGGGAGCATTGTGTGCGGATCAGATCAGGACACCTCCAGAAATGATAATGCATTAATGTGCAAATATGTGGAAGACAATGAATTCTCCGCCTACTTCAACGGCACAAATTTTAAATGACACATGTTTTTCGTCATTTTTTCTAAAAAAAAAAAGAAGTATTTTTTTATCAGAGATAATCCTATTTAAGATACTGTTGGTAATAAATACGGATATATCTTCCAATAATAATTTAAATATTGATTCATTATATTGGGAGGGGCTAATCCTTTTCATTAAATTTAAACCCTGCTAGTCGTCATATTTACAGTACTTAATAATATACTCCTAAGTGTTAGGGCTTTATAACCCAATTTACACCAAAAATTGTCTTGAAATTTTTTTTAGGTACAAGGACTATGAGTTCCAATCCTCATAAGGTAATGATGGGTAGGTTAGTTATATAACAACAACAATATACTCCTTATTCGTTAGTGTCTTGAAAGTAAGATATTTATAATTATTTTATTAAAATTAAGAAGTAATTAAATCCTTACCAAGATATAAAACTGAAATAACCTTTCCGATTAATATGACCTTGTTTAACAGCATGAATTAAAAAAGTCATAAAAAGTGGTAAAGAAATATGATTTTATTTTTAAAGAAAGTCAATTATAATGTCCTACCATGTTGTATAAAAAGGACCATTATATAAGACTATCACTAATCCTTTTCAAAGGCACCCCCAAGATTATTTATAAGAAAACAAATAATAATTAGTTTGGAGTTTGTGACTAATATGTATGCATACAAAATCAGAGAGTATATGAGTCTACACTAAAATTTATAGAAAAGAAATTAAACACATTTATAGGTTATAGCAATGCAGCTCAATATATTGCTTCGAGAATCTTAAATAAAAGTCACATTAATTATTTCCATAAATAATGCATTTTTTAATTTTATAAATTTATAAAGTCCATTACCTTCTTTTAAGAATTTTACGTGAAAATGTTATAGGTCTCCTTGTTATCTCTTGGAATTTTTTAATCACCTTCAATAGTGACATGCTAAAATGATAACATTATTATAAAGCAACCTTTATTATCATCTCCCCTCCTGTCTGGCAACATATTTATATAACTACTGAATATTTTAGTCAGTTTCAATCACATGCAAAATAAAAACATTATCATCTTTTTCATTTATTTATTGTCTTCACTATTTGTTTATTCGGTTCCAATCAATAAACGACACTTTTATATCTTTGCTCTCTCTCTCTCTTTTTTTTTTCCTTTTCTTTTGTGTGTTTTTTCCCCCAATCATACAACAGCACAAACACGTGCCCTGAAAAGAACTTTTGATTATTATATTATGTCCACGTGAAATGAAGTGTGAGTAATTCTCAGTCGGTGTGAAAGGGTAAAGGACCGGTCGGATCATACCAAAGGGTCCCTTTTCTATTGGCCACTCGTCACTTGTGAACAGAAATGTTTCGATCTTGGATTTTTAAAATAAAATAATATTATCAAAACATATATAATATTAAATCAATAAAAAAGCCAAATTATTTCATGAGTCATGAATAATTAATTATTTAATGATGTTTACTCAAAACTCCAAGAAAATTAAAACACAACGTTACAATCTTGTTAATTAATTTTGCAGCAAGAATTAAATAACAATGCTTAAAAACAACAAAATAAATTTCATATACATATATATAGTTATTATATGTTACTCTCTATTTTATTATAACACTCATAAATATACGTATAGAAGAAATTATGTTTAGAAAACCTGAGTTTAATAATCATGGTAAATTTATACAAACAAAATTAGATTCGTGCTAGCCTGAGAATCGGATCTACCGATCCAAATTCAAGGAAGGCGTCTTAGAGTGCTATGCATTAGTATATGCCATACGTCATTATAAATTTTGATCAAGCATTTAGCTTTTACTTTCATATACTCCTCCGATCCGAAATATAAGATCTATTTTATAATGTTAATTATATATAATAGTTTTTCTTGATGGTACAGTGATGATATAATATTTAATGTACTTCTCCGATCATAAATGTAAAACCCATTTTGTAGTGACATTGACCTCACTGTACTACAAAATGAGTCTTACATTTATGATCGGAGAAGTACATTAAATATTATACCATCACTGTACCATCAAGAAAAACTATTATGACATTATTAAATAGGTTGGTTACTGATAAGGCTAGACAAAAGAATAAAAAACTAAAATAAAAAAAGGAAGATTGTAGAAATTATTATTCAAATCTTCTCATCTTATCACTTCCCTCTATAAATACCCATGAAAGCTCTCGTTGCTTCCTCACAAGCTTTGTGTAAGCAAAAAAAGCATTACTTGTATAATATCATCCTCTTTGAGTGAGTGTGAGAGAAAGTGAGGGAAAGATGTTTCCAAATCTGAAGCCCTCCAACATTCCAGTGATTGGAAACATATTTGATAAGGGGAAGAAGATAAAAGGCACAGTGGTGTTGATGAGGAACAATGTGCTGAACATTGACCTCACCAATGCTGCTTCCACTGTCTTTGATGGATTCAGTGAGTTCCTTGGCCAAGGCGTCACTCTCCAATTGGTCAGTTCGGTTCATGCTGATCCTGGTATATATACTTCTTCAACTTCCTCCTCATTCTGCACAATATCTTCTTCTCCGTCATTATATATCAGAAACAACAAGAAGCAAGCCTCTTCCTGCGTCTGAGTTTCTATGAGAACAGACATTTAAGCATCATAGGATCATAGTATTTATAATTCGTACTTGAAACGAGGCTTTGTGTTCTATTCTGCTGAAAATAAGCTCCTTTCATGGCTGTCCGTGGGGTTCAGATCACTACAGAGGGGAAAAGCATTAAAATGGAATTTTAAGCTGGATCTTTTCTCGTTTAGTACACACGCGTCACCAACTTACACCTTAAATCTTTAAATAATCACTAAGATACGTATCTGTCCAGATCTGAGATTGTTTAATTCATTCTATTTTTCTCTGATTTTTTAAATACTGATACTGATAATGAAGTCTAACCTTATGCTAGACTATTATATGTATAAAAATGATGGAGGGATAATAGAACTAAACAATACAGATATATATATATATATATATATATATAATAATTTTTTTTGTTGGTATATTTGTTTGCAGCAAATGGATCAAAAGGGAAAGTTGGGAAGCCAGCGAGTCTAGAGAGTTGGCTAACGACACTGCCAAGTTTGACATCAGGCCAAAATGCATTTACAGTGCATTTTGATTGGGAAGATGATATAGGAATTCCAGGAGCATTTATCATAAGGAATAATCATCTGAGTGAGTTCTTTCTTGTGAGTTTGACTATTGAAGACTTCCCAAATCACGGTGACATTCACTTTGTCTGCAACTCCTGGGTTTACCCAGCAAGCAAATACAAAAAAGATCGCATTTTCTTCTCAAACAAGGTAATAATAGTGGTTAAATCAAATTTCTTATATCCAATGATTCTGCAGAATCTTAGAAGTCATGGATTTTGTTAAATGTTGCAGACATATCTTCCAAGTGAAACACCAGCACCATTGGTGAAGTACAGAGAAGAAGAATTGAAGAGTTTGAGAGGAGATGGAACAGGAGAGCGCAAAGAATGGGAAAGAATATATGATTATGCTACCTACAATGATTTGGGTGATCCAAGTTCTGAAGAGTCAACTCGTCCAGTCCTGGGAGGCTCATCCACCTATCCTTACCCTCGCCGGGGAAGAACTGGTAGACCGCCGACAACAAAAGGTCTGGCTCTTTTGTCTGTGTGGAAATCAATGGATTGTTATTAAATCTTTCTCAACTTTAACATGTCTTACGGTATTGCTTTGACAGATCCAAACACTGAGAGCAGACTGAACAAAGTTATGTCCTTTACTATTTATGTTCCGAGGGATGAAAAATTTGGACACTTGAAGATGTCAGACTTTCTCACTTATGGATTGAAGTCTGTATCTCAAAGTATTCAGCCATCACTGAACTTTTTAGACAAGGAATTTGATAGTTTTGAAGAAGTTCGTGATCTCTATGACAAAGGGATCCAATTGCCACAAGGCATACTAAACAGTATCAGTGACAAGTTGTCTGGAGAAATGCTCAAGGAAATTTTCAGAACCGATGGTGAACGCCTCCTCAGATTCCCAACTCCTCAAGTGATTAAAGGTCCGAGTCTGTGTGTGTGTCTCTCTCTCTCTATATATATATATATCTTGCACATGTTGATCCATTATTAGTTACCATGGTCATATCTGGTGATGTTAATTCTTACTTTATCACTTGATTAGAAAACAAATCTGGATGGATGACGGATGAAGAATTTGCAAGAGAAATGCTTGCTGGTGTGAATCCTGGTTTAATTCGTCGCCTTGAGGTAACTTAAAGTTTATTTGAATAAAAATATTAAGCTTTCCATATTTTGATTGTCTAATGGATTGCTTATCAGATTCTGATTTTGACTTGCATTCATTGTTGCAGGAGTTCCCACCAAAAAGCAAACTTGACAGCCAACTTTATGGCGATCAAACCAGTAAAATAACCAAACAACAATTAGAGATTAACATGGGCGGACTCACTGTTGATCAGGTGATTAATTATTAATTAATAAAAAAATTTGTACTCTTCCAGTCCTAAATATAAGACCCTTATACTAGTGCGTATAAGGATCTTATATGTAGGACCAGAGGAGTATTCCACAATCTACTTGATGAATTATGCCAAGAGCTCAATATTATTTCTGCTATTTATCATAAAAGTGACAATCTTTTTAAAAAATGTATCTGATTGAATATAGGCCATCAAGAACAAGAAACTTTTCATTCTGGACCACCATGATCCCATCATACCATATTTGAGGAGGATAAACCAAACTTCCACGAAGGCATATGCTAGCAGAACAATCCTTTTGTTGAAAGATGATGGAACTCTAAAACCATTGGCCATTGAACTAAGTAAACCTCATCCTGATGGAGACCAATCTGGTGTGATCAGCGAAGTTTACTTGCCTGCAGAACATGGCGTTGAGAGTGCCATCTGGCTCTTAGCCAAAGCTTATGTTGTTGTGAATGATTCTTGCTATCACCAACTAGTCAGTCACTGGTAATGATTTCTGATGCAACTAACAAATATATATATGTGCGCGCGCGCGTGTATATATGTATATACTCTTCATCAAACTTATTTTGATGGATTTGTTTGTGTTTCACAGGTTGAATACTCATGCAGTGATTGAGCCATTCATCATTGCAACAAATAGGCAGCTCAGTGTGCTTCATCCGGTTTATAAACTTCTGCTTCCTCACTACCGTGACAATATGAACATAAATGCGCTTGCTCGTCAAGTCTTAATCAATGCAGGGGGAATTATAGAAGACACATTCTTGTGGGGAAGGTATTCTTTAGAGATGTCTTCCAAGATTTACAAAGATTGGAAGTTTTACGAGCAAGCACTTCCGGCTGATCTTCTCAAGAGGTAAAAAAGGGGGGAAAAAACTTTGGCACTTACCAACAATGAATAAATCGTGTTATAACATAGAATCTGGACATGAATTTTTGTCTGTTTTCTTGTTTGATTTAGGGGAATGGCAGAGTCAGATCCAGCTTCTCCAAATGGAATCCGCCTAGTGATTGAAGATTACCCTTATGCTGTAGATGGACTAGATATATATTTTGCAATCAGGACATGGGTCCAAGACTACATCTCCTTCTACTATAAGACTGATGATGCTGTGAAACGAGACTCTGAACTCCAATTATGGTGGAAAGAAGCTGTGGAGGTAGGTCATGGGGACAAGAAAGATGATCCAACATGGTTCAAGATGCAGAATCGCAGAGAGCTAGTTGAAGCCTGCACTATAATCATCTGGGTTTCTTCAGCACTTCATGCAGCAGTCAATTTCGGACAATATCCATATGGAGGCTATATTCTGAATCGCCCAACTCTGAGCAGAAGATTCATGCCTGAGAAAGGAACTCCTGAATATGATGAACTAGCCAAAGACCCTCATAAGGCTTTCCTGAGAACCATAACTCCAAAGGACAAAACAATCACTGACCTTTCAACCATAGAAATCTTGTCCAGGCATACTTCTGATGAGTTCTACTTGGGGCAGAGGGATAGCCCTAACTGGACATCTGATACGGCGCCATTGGAGGCTTTCAAGAAGTTTGGGAAGAAATTGGAAGAAATTGAGGGGAAGATCACAAATAGGAACAAAGATGCAAACTTTAGGAACCGATATGGGCCAGTGAATATGCCTTACACTCTGCTCTATCCTACTAGTGAAGCTGGGCTCACTGGCAAGGGAATTCCAAATAGCATCTCTATCTGAAGGATCCGTGTGTCATTGTACTGCTTTGTTGGGTTTTCGAATTTCGATCAGTGGAAATAATTTAGAAGAAGGATTCTAAATCCTTCTTCCACTTTAGAGATGCACGTTTGATTATCGTGAGTTGATGTGTTTGCATGTTTAAATGTTTGGAAATAAAATTACTAATAGCAATAATTATGTTTCTATTTATATTTATTGTTTTGTTTTTTCAAAAAATAGTTTTTCTTTCCACAACCTTTTATCGGTCGGTCCCTATTATAGTAAAAACTTTTTAACAACTTCACGACTATTAAAATATAGAGTTAACAACTTAACATTAGACATTTTTAAAAAAATATGTCCATAGTTTGAACAAGTTTTCAGTATTATCTTTCAAATTTATTAAATTATCGTTTTCTCATCATAACCTCTCTTCACTTAATCAGTATAAAAGAAAGGAAAATCAAAACCACCAAAAAAAATTTAAAAACAATAAATAATTAAGATAAATTGTAAAATTTAATAAGGGTAAATTAAGTATTTCAAAAAGGTTTTGATATTAAGCAAATGGGGCATATCTTTTGGAAGGAATGTCTAGAAAAAGAATGTACTCATCAAAAAAATCTAACAAGTGAACAATATGCAACAAAAAAATTTGGATATAAGAAAGGAAAACAGTAATCTTACTACTCATGCACAATTGTTATTAGAGATTTTGATTATTATACTACATTCAGTTTTTAATATAAGAGTTAATTTGACATTTAATTTAATTCTAAATATAACATTTTAATCTACTTTGTATATTATATTTATTTTTTTTTAAAATAGTTATTGTAGCAGTTATTCATATTAAATGTTTCATCAAATAGTAATTTTAGCTAATATATTTAGTAAGGGTATCTTAAAAAAAAATAATACATATTTATTACAAATGATTAACTTGACTAATTTTTTTAATCTATTCAAATTAATTAATTAGTTCTTATATTAAATATTAGAAGTGATATTTCTTTATTAAGAATTCATTGTAATATCGAGAGAAATGAAATGATTATTATTATCCACTAAAATTTACCAAGTGAAAAATTCTAATCAACTCACCACAAAAGTCCGGTGCGATTTAAAACGATGACCGAGTCTCTTAAATATTTGTCATGGATTTAATCCTTAACTGTGTACGAAAAAACTCTTTTTTTCTGGGTGAAAAAAAGCTTTTTCAAAGAGACAAAACTCACCTTTGCTTTGAAAAAGATTAATTTTTAATTCTCTAAATTTATCTCTCTTAGCTGACACTCATAAATAACTTTCCAACTAAAAAACTATCTCCAAACGTATTTACAAAAATAACTTAAATTTAAAATTTAATTATAAGTTCATATATTTGGCCAAAAAAGTTAATTATAAGTTCGTATAGAAATAGTTAAGAAACAAAAGTAGGTAAGAAACCGAGCTGGGAGGGAGGCCAGGCTTCTCTCTCTTCTCATATCGGACCGCAGACTCCCAAACGCAACGAAGTGTTCCAGTTCCAAAGACTGAGCTGACACAGACAAGTGTTAGCAAGAGCGCCGGAAGAGTGAAGAGGGGAGTTCCTATGGGGAATCAGAAGCAGAAATGGACGGCGGAGGAAGAAGAAGCATTACTCGCCGGAATAGCCAAGCACGGTCCCGGCAAGTGGAAGAACATTCTCAAGGATCCCGAGTTTGCGCCTTTCCTCACTCACCGTTCCAACATTGACCTCAAGGTTCCTTACCCTTTCACTCGCCTTTTCCTTGCCTAAGTCGACTATTCTATTAAATTTATGCACGGCAGCATTTCTTAGGGTTCCTCGTTCCCTTCCCTGTAGGTGCTGGTTGTTAAATTATTTCCCCGGAAATTTTTAGTTTTGCTTATCTGAATATGTTATATGTGGATGCGATGATTGCTCATATGACCAAGTTGGCCTGACTCCTTCAAATGATCGATGAAGATATAATAGCTTTGCAAACTGTGGGCTTGAGTTAGTTTGTAGCTATATTTTTTAACCTTTTATTACTAGGCGCCAAAACAATATTGTGATGTGGTTATTTCAAGGTCTTATGATGCTATCATGGCTTGCTTTTAATCTCACTCATCTTTGTAACAATCTTTTATGTCTTAATGTGAGTGCATGTAGAAATGGAAGACAAACTACTCTTTGGAAAATTCTAATGAGATATTCTAACTCTGAGGATCAAATTGAGACGAAGGTTGTCTTGAGGTTTTTATTTCACAGTAACTTGTTTGTTCTCTGTACTTTTGATATGCTTATATTAAGTATTTTTCATACTGTTGAAGAACTAACTATTCTAAAAGTCATTGGTGGATTTTGTAATTCTATTTTATGAACCGCGGGATGATGATAACTTAAAATTAGTACAACGTGCTTTTATGATTGGTCCTTTAAAGAACAGAATAAAACTTCATAGATGAATTCATGGAGTGTTATATGTCAAATATAATTATTTCAATGTTCTGTATCCCGGCAGAAGTTAAATCCAAATATATATTTCACCATTCCTCTGTTATTATTCTTTTGATCTGCTAGGATAAATGGAGGAACTTAAGTGTTAATACTGCTGCTCAAGGTTCTAAAGATAAAGCAAGGAATCCTAAGATTAAAGCTGTTCTGCCTGCTTCAGTTACTAGCATTCAAAATGCTACTCCTACTGCTCCAGTTCGCCAAAGTGCAACTTCTGATACTGCCGTTGATGATGCTTCTCATAAAGCACAGGATGTGAAGAATGCTCCACGGTATGCTTTCATATCTCTTCCTAATTTTTCACTTTTGCAAGTATTTAACTATTCTCTATCGTATGAATATTGCCCAGTACGGTATGTCGCACACTATCTACTCTTTTCATCTTTCGTGTGGAATAGATTTGTTCATGGAAAATAATGGCATCTCAGAAATCTAATGACTCTTTCTTTATGTTATTTTATATACAAATAGTCTCTTGATCGAACTCATGCTTTTAACATTTAAAGCCTGCTGAAATATATATATATATATATATATATATGAAAAGAATAAAAACAAAGTTACGTGGTGTCCCATAAATTGTGCAGAGAAAATTTAAAGAATGAAAAGATTACATGGTGTCCCGTAAGACATTTAAACCACTATCAGTGGCTTTTAAATAAAGCGATTCCTCATAGATCTTATCTTTTATGTTGATTTGCATTAGAATCAACATGGCATATAATGACATTGATGAGAAGAGTTCATTTTCCATTTGGAGTCTTATTTTCCGACAGTCGCATTGATTGACTTTGTTCTTGCCTAATATTTTTTTCCTTCTAGTGAAGGTTTATTGTGAAGTTTGCTAAAATGCAAATGAAAAATTTGGCAAAGACCTTCAACTTGCAATAGTGGCAAATAACCCTTACTTTCAATTTAATTTGCCCTTATATAATTATTGTTTTTCTACTTGTTGAAAATTATATCCTAAGGGATTTTTGTTACTTTTTCTTTTTGTGGTTTCTGCCAGGTATAATGGAATGGTCTTTGAAGCCCTGTCAACTATAAAAGATACTAATGGTTCAGACATAAATACCATTGTCAGTTTCATTGAGGTACGGTGAAGGTCTAATGATTGCAATAACTTTTGATATTGTACGGCATGGTTCCAGTCAAATGTGTTCTTCCCCCCACCCCCCTAATACCTTTATTTGGTTGTTTTATCATGGATCATCTGACTCTGGTCAATTACACTTGATCATACAGTAAATCTTGTTTTGCTGCTGCATGAAGTAATATGAAATGTTTGTCATCCTCAATTATTTAAGTCGAATTGAGTAATCTCTAGTGTGCTTTCTATGCTTGAGTCCACTAAGGGTGATGATTGTGTACAATACTGCAGAAAAGGCACAAGATACCTCCAAATTTCAGAAGGGCATTAAGTACGAGGTTGAGGAGGCTCGTTGCTCAAGGGAAACTTGAGAAGGTAATAGAATTAAAGTTTTCATCTTAAAGCTTTTGAGTATTTTTCTTTAGATGCACAATATTTAATCTTGATGCTGTCTTTCTTGTTTGATGGTTCCTTGCTTGGGATAGATAATTTCACTTCGATACAATGAAACGAAACTTCTTCATCCTGTTACTTATATTTCTTGAAGTGTGTTACTGGGGCAATTTGCCTTTGGTGCTTGCCAGACAAATGATGATTGATTCCTTTTCTTTCTTTATGGAATATGTTTGCATGTTTAGGGAGGGAGGGGGAGGACATTTGGTGCCGGAAGGAAAAATAAGCAACTTTTATTTTAAATTCGCTAGTTTATAAAGGAAATTTTTCTGCCACGCTAGTATTCAAAATGTCTTCTATAGCAAAATACTACTATTTTAATATTTGGTAATGCCTCACAAGCTAGCTGTTCCACGGCTTCCAACAGTCTACAGCCTCAACTCTTTATTTTTATACACGGCAAGCAAAATGCATGGAGTAGCAGTGAGATCGAACCCATGATCTTCCACGAACAAGGGTGATATTCATGTATTATGCCAAAGGCAGTGGCTACAGCTTCACCTCAACTGAGATAAAGTCTGGGCACATAAGCAAACCTGTGAATAAATTCAAGTTGCTATTATCTTAAAACTTGTTTTTCTGTTTATGTGTTGATGATTTCTCAACTCTACCCAACCCTGCAGGTACAAAATTGTTACAAGATAAAAAAGGACCCCCCTTCTGGGGAAAAAACAGTTCCAACGAAACAAAAAGACATCTGGCAACATCAACCACCAGCCTCTAGTGTAGTGCCTTCTTATGAGACCGCTAAGGATGCTGCTGATACTGCAGCCTACAGACTTGCAGAAGCTGAGAATAAGTCATTTCTGGCTGCTGAGGCAGTCAAGGAAGCAGAAAGACTCGCGAAATTTGCTGAAGAAGCCGATGCAGTGTTACAACTAGTGAAAGAGATTTATGAACAATGTACTGATAAACAGCTATATCTATATGTTAATAACTTTTTTTTTTTTGGGAAAAAAATCATTACTTATAGCTTAAAATAACCATAGTTCTTTTGTGGATTTGTTGATGCAGGCTCGCGTGGTGAAACTATTTTCTTGGCGTAAAGTTGGTGAAATACAAGGTCGATCATAGATTTACATCTCTGCATCGGTTTTTTTACCTTGTTTTCTGATAGATTTTTTTCCTCCTCCCGCGCATTCATTTGTTATTATTACATCATAAGTCATGTTTATATTAGGCTAACGTATTCTGTGCCAAACCCGTCTAGAGTTCCATGGCGGAAGCAGTATATATGATCTGATCAAGGATGTTTTATGGCTTGGAAAGAGGGTGTCTCAATTGTAGCTTTCCTTTCGTTTTGTTTTGTTTTGTTTTTGCTTTTTGTCTCTGTTTTTTTTTCGGTGGGGGATTGGTGCTGGCCAAAAGCATTTACCTAGATCTTAATCGGCTAAAGTTTTGTCATCCTTAACCATGATATTCTTGAGAATACAAGATATAAAAGTGAATCTTATGTAATTGTTTGACACATGGCAAATTATGACACTGACAAAAATCTTACAATAAAATGCATATTATATACTATCTTTGATTCTAATTATAAAAACCAATTGACTAATTTGAGGAAAGTAAGGAAGTAAATTGAGTTAGTTATTTGTTTTAAATGTGTTGTTTTTTCTAAATTATTCTTACTAATCAAGTGTATTAATTAGAATTATAATTATCAAAAGGATTATCTCGGAAAAAATTGAGTAAATATGAGAGACAAAGTAGATTGAGGTTTTATATTTAGGATCAAAATAAAAGTCAAATATGATTTTATATTAAAGATTGGAGGTGGTATATGTCATACACTATCTACAGCGGCATTTCCATTGTGTTAATTACTCAGCTTTCAATAGGGGTGAGCAACAAACCCATTACCCGCTAGCCTGCCCATGACCCATGAAATTTTTGCCAATTTAAGCCCGCCCAATTAGCCCAGATAAGAGATTATAAATGGGCGGGCTTAAATGGGTATGGTGGCCCATTAAACGGGTTGGGCTATGGGCAAGGTATTGGGCTGCCCATACCCGCCCGTTTAAGTTTTAATTTTTTAAAAATATTTTTATTTTTCATTTAATTGATGATATTGTTTCTCATTTATCTTTATCAAACTTCATTTGTCTAAGCTTTTATTTTATCCTTTAGGTGAAAGTTGGAACTTTCAAAGTTTGAGACTTTATGATTGGTGACTTCTTTTATGATTTTATCAGACTTTGATTGTTTGTGAATCTAAGTAAGGTTGTGTGATTGAATATGATTGATGTTATTTCATATTTGATTTGCTATTTGGCATGCAAAATTTATTGCTAGCTTCATAAGGTTACATATACAAAATAACTATACTGAACAAAAATTAAAAAAAAAATGGATTACCCCGTAACCCGGTTAGCCCAAACGGGCTGCCCCGTAACCCATTTAATACGGGCTAAATGGGCTATTACGGGTTATGGGTTACCCATGCCCATTTATAAATAAATGGGCGGGCTATGGGCTAACCTTCGGGTTAGCCCACCCGTCCATTGCTCAGCCCTAGCTTTCAACACATGAATTCATGATTTATAAAGGGAAAATTGTAAATAAATTCGTCATTGAAAAATCAATTGGCAAATAGTTTATAGAATGATGAGTTGTACAAAAAAAAGATAAGTTGTATATATGAAAAAAAGTTAAGAGTTCTTAGCTTTTAGTTTTAATTTCTCTCTAATTTTCTCATTTATAAATATAGTTATATAATTTAATGTACTCTTCCGTGAGGTTGGTTATCTACAATTATACGATTTCAAGCAAGTTCGTCTTTGACTGTTAACTCCTAGCTTTCATGGAAGCTATTTTTTTTTTAATGAAAATATGGAAGGGATCATGTTTAAGATTGTAATAGTAACATTATATGTAATCGGTTAACTACGTTCATGAAAATTTTGCAATTCACAAATCCATTTTAATTTATCTTGTTTTAAATTTAAATTATACAAAACCCTCCTGAATTTTATGTCGTGTGTAAATAATTTTCCTTTTGAAAATTTATACCAAATCTCTCAAAATTTTTACATTTATGTAGATAACTTTCATATTGTTAGTTTTGTTCATTATTTATTTGTAAATGTCTCAAAGTCTAAGGGGTCTATGGGTTTGTGATTATTTGCATAGATTTTAAGACATTAAAAAGGTTTATTATTAAATTTTAAAGATTTAGGACATTATTTATACATGATTATAAGCTTAAGAAAGCTTTATGTAATTTAGCGTTGAATTTATAGAATAGGGGCATTACATGATAAATTGGATCTAAATATTAACCTGTAATTCGTAAAAATTAGAACATAGAAATAAATATTTAATAGAGATAACATGATACATGAACATAAAAGAGCAATGAATTGATACTGATGTTGAAAATTTATGAAACTCGAAAGTTTATATTCTAACATTAACGAGCTCATAATGAGTTTATAATTACTAAATTCAAACAAATTTACAACGATCCGGTCAAAACAAAAAACACATTTACAATGAGGGCGAGATTTAGTTTATTATTTTATTATTTTGAATACTACTTACATATATTAAAGAAAAAATGGGGATAAAAAGAAGCAGCAAATTTTATACGTTGACAAGCTCCAGGCAAGTTAATTTTACGAACAAAAAAGGGGAAAAATAAGAGCTCTTTGCAAGATTAATCCTAATTCTACATTAATAACATACTATGTAGCAAAAGTGGAAACCATTCAGAGAGCCAGAAGAGAAGCATTATAACTTGAAAAGGGCATAGTAGTCAACATGACAAAAAATGATACAAGAATTAAAATTCCTTTAGTTCTACAAAATGAAACGCTAATGACCCCTCAGAATTGACTTCAAGGAATTGGGAAATTCGTTTGTTTGAAAGTCAAGGTAAAGATTTAAGGTTTAACCGTAGATCACATGTCATGTAACCACAAAAAGTCCATCAGCAAAACCAAAATCCACTTCCTAATCCATAGCACACTAAAATTCCAAATTTTGAACTACAAGAGCACAAGACCAAGTTCAGATGGCTTCAATGAACGCCTTATGCGGTAGTTGTAAAGATAATAGTGAAGTTTCCCATCCCCTGGTCCAAACTTCAGTTCCTTCAAGAATGACCCGTTTTGCATAACATCCAAAGCATTGAAAACATCATAGTCCTGTCTTTTGGCTACAATAAGAGCATCATTCATCAGCTGAAGCAACGGGGTCTTTGTTGAAACATTGTAATAGGAATAAGCTGCTTTCAGAATTGAATAATTTTGGTTTCCAAGAATGGTAGAAGGAAGAGTGTAAAAACTGCAAAAGTCAGTAATCTCATGAGTCTCAGGACTTTCAACCAGGTAACTATCAACAACATTCTCCTTGGGAAGAAGCCAATGCTCAACATCATTTTCATCAAAATCAGGTGCAACAACAAAATTACTTAAATATTTCCTAAGGAGCCTTGTAACTGCAGGAACATCATGGATCTCCATCTTTCTGAACCCCGCGGTTACTGTTGATTCTGGCAACTTGTAAAGCTTTATTGTCCGACTCATTGTCATTCGTGCACCAAGCCTAGAGAAGCCAACATCAATTAGCTTTTTGGGATTAAGAGATCTGTGCCAGTATTGGCAAGTTGCTATTGGTGTAGGAAGAATCACTCCCGCAGTATAGGCTGCCTGCCAGATATTCTCCAAATGCACCCTCCTGGTCACCTCCTTGATCATGACAGGAGCAAGCCTCTTTGATCTAAGCTTTTTATGAACGCACAAGAAATTTATCTCTGCCATGTTAACAACTTCATCACGAACTCGGATTCTAGCTGGAACACCTGTAATAAAGGCAACCAACTTCTTGGAACTTTTGACACGGACTCCAATGTGCCAACTTCTGAAAAAACCAGGAGGTTGCAAAGCCCATCGCAGAAATTCCTTTGAGTAGTTAAATCTGAACATGTTCTCATCATCCTCAACATAATTGTTAGCAAGAAGGTTATAAACCTCTTGGCATGTCTCCTCAGAGTTTATGTCACAAGTAGTCCATTCATAGAGATTAGGAAGGTTGTATGGCTCTTGTTTGACTTCAGACAAGGGGGTCGGAGATTCAATAGGACCTTCGGGCAAACTAGCGTCACCTATATCCTTGAACTGCCCAACAGGTTGGGTTTCCCAAAATTTATGTCTGTTTTCAAGAGAGAGAGACTCTTGAACTTTTTGAGCCAGGGTTTCCAGTGCAAGATCACTTTCAGATGGTGCATTGCCATCCGGGTTGGGGTTTTGAGTCTCTTCAGGTAATTCAGAAGATATATTGCTATCAGCCATTTCCTGAAAGTTATCTGAAAGACAAGAAAACTATTTTTAAAATAAAAAAAAATCATGGAAGGAAGTAAAAGTCTTAACGTCAGATCAAATGGTTGTGAAGGGCATAGAAAAGAAAGTATTCACAACCTTAGCCATATGCCTACCGACTCTCTAATTCACCTGTTGTTCTCAGTCCCACACAACACCCTCCATTCTAGCATCCAGAGAAGAATCCGCTTTTTTGTTTACAACAAAACAACATGTTCTAAGCTACAAAGCATTTCAGGTGATATACCCAAAAACCCGAGTTTCAATTTTTATGGAAAATAATCACCAAAGTCAAGAAATCTCATTAGTCGCACAATGTTAGGAGGAATAACACAATGCAAGGAAGGTGTACCCTAAAGACAAATTAGAATACAAACAAACAAAAATAATCAGGTCTTTGAGGCACTGTTAATCTCATGTAAAAGGAATTGGGAAATACCGAGATAAAAACACAATGACAACTTCAACCCTTAGCTATTTCCATTGGTTTCATAATAAACCACCAAACAGACGATGTCATGAATATCAACATCACATCGTTGTGCACAAAGAAAATGGACCAAACAGATAGAGAATTTCAGTCCAACAATATTATAAATTTGATTTTGCCAAGTGGCATCAAATCATTTATATGTTTAAGGTGGCAAACATCTTTTAAGGATACCTTTAGGCTGTAGATTAAACTGGGATGAACTGATGGAGTGAAGTAGTTGATCATGTAAAAGTTGATTAAATTAGTGATTTTGGCGTTTGGTAGCAAGATGAGTCCTTCATCCAATGACCAATAGTAGACTTCCTCTACTGCAGCTAGCAAGGCTATAGAAGTTTGGAGTTCCATTTTGGAAAAAGTCAACTCTCATGTATACTTAACAAAACGTGTCAGTTCCAGTCATATTATATTCTTAAAGCTTTATTCAGCCTGAATGAAACAAAAATGCATCCATGATCAACTTATTTTGGCAGCTATTCTAGTTCTTTCAGGGGGAGGGATATTGAATATGTAAACTTCTGTTTACATGAAGACTGAAGAGCTTCTATTTGGTTCCTGTGCACCTTCCATGACACACATTGATCGCCAGGAAATGATAGCATGGGACAGAAGATTTAGCATTTTCTATAAAGTCGATGAAGGGGGAAGCATGTGAACTTTTGATAGCAAATCACTCAATCAAAGAAAATTTTCACCAACTTAGAATCATTGATCCCTAAAATCAAACTAAGTGCTGAGCCAATGTGTCATCTGTTCATTTGCCACTCTCCTGTGCAATGTAAATAGAGACAACATTTTTCTGTGCTAACACTGTGGTGTGTGATTTTCTGTAATTTGAACTATTGGGTTAGCTAGGAGAATAGAAATATGGGGAATGTTGACACCAAATTAAGTGGAAAAGAGTTCGTTAGTGCTTGATGCAGTATTGTGGGTTTGAGAAAAATAAATAGACTTATACTAATTCAAATGTGCAGAAAAGATTGAGTTGTTTCTTCTCTGGGCCAAACAAATATCCAGACAAAGCTCAAACGAATGAGTAACTCCCATCTTATTCTGCTAGCACAGTTTATACTACAAGTGCGGAAGGGATGTGCTACCCTTTAAAACCAACTAAAGACATTTCCATCGACCAAATAAGGTGTTAGTAGGTCGAAAAATGTGAGAAGAACAAACAATCCACATAATTTAAGAGGATTGACCCTATTAAAGTCCTGGAATAGCCAGGCATTAGAGAAAGCAGCAGGCGGAGGAAGAAATGATAGCCCTTCCCATTCACGAAAGCTAGAACCGTGAATGGGGGCAACTTTAGACAACCCACAAATACAGCAGTGACAATTATTCAAGATCTAAGCAACACAAAGACCCCCTTCTAAAAACATGATTTGTGCAGTCCTCGCACTGTGCCAAATCCAACACATCAAAAAGCACGTAGCTTCAGAAGCTGCAATTGTTTCCACTTTATTTGAACCCTATCCATTTCCTTCGTTTTCAAAGGACACAAATGGAAGGCTGACGGAAAAAATTGAATAAGGAAATACAGAGTTAACATTTACCTCAAATTGCAGCTGGTATGAAGATTAATACATTCAAAGCAAACTCTCCAAGCTTCCTCTGGCTTGAATCCCTAAGATCTAATGATCCGTGATAGATAGTGAGGAAGAGAGGTGAGAGAGAGAGAGAGGAGGCGGATGCTAACTTAAGAGAGGAGGAAAACTTTGGAATAACCGAATCGTCAAGGCTGCTGAACAGTATGAGCGTGCAAGCTGCCGGAGGTTTTTTTTTTTTTTTGTTCTTTCTTTCTTGCCCCCTCCTTTTCCTTTATTTGTTTTGCCGAACTCTTTTTGCTCTCAGTAATAATAAATAGATATTGTCTTTATTAAAATATTCTTATTAATTAAATGTATTAGTTAAAACTATCATTATTACAAAGGTTACTTGAAAAAAATAGATAAATATGAAAGACAAAGTGAATTAGAGTATTATATTTATAACCAAAATAAAATTCAAACAAACTCTCATATTAAGAAGGGGAGATAATAATAAGTAAGGACAGCAAGTTAAGACCTAAGAGTTATTTTATTGCAAAAATAACATAAAAAGAAGTTAAAAATTATAATATTCCAATTCAAGTACATAAAAAGTCAAAATCATAAAAGATGAAGTGGTGCCTGGTTTGATATTTTGCAAATATAGCCAGATGACTAAAATAACCTTATATCATATTTTCTTTTAAAAAAATTATTGAACTTTTCATTGTCAGTATATTTCTTGTTATTACTTATTCAATATTTGTTATTATCAATTCACAACTTATTAATAAATAACTTCTCATTGTTAGTACGTTTTTTGTTATTTGTTGTTCAACACTAGTCATTGCCAGTTTATAACTTATTAATAAATTTTTTTGATACAATAACATTTTTGTCATTTAATTATATTTGTAAAATACTAAACTAGGTATCACTTTCTCCCTTGAGATTTTGACCTCTTAGGTGTCTCAATTAAAATGTTGCAATTTCCAACTTCTTTTTATATCATCTTCCCTATTTTATTTATATGATAGACTAGATCAAGTAAATATAAATCATGCATTCATGCGAACCAAAAAATTCTTTAAATCAATTAAATAAAATAATATATAAAAAATATAATTTTTTTAAATACCTTTATTTATAAAAGGTGTGAGTGGGAAAGAGAGTGTAAAAAAAATAAAGATAAATAAATAATTATTCCTCCGATCCTTTATATAAAACCTATTTAACTAATTTGATTAAATTAAGAAAGTTAGGTAAGCTAGTTAATTATAAAAAATATGACATATTTTTCCTAAAACACCATAATCATCTTTCTTAATATTCTCTTTCTCTCTTCCACTTGATTATAGTTGAAGGAGTATTTATATGAGTAATTTAGAAAAAATTGATAAATATGATAAATATGTCTTATATTTAGAACCAAAATCAATTCAATAATTATGTCCTATATTAAGAACTGCAGGAGTAATTGAGAGAGTTAAAATAAAAAAAATATTTAATGTTCGAAGCATGGCTTATATAAAAATCAAACTCATTCAAAAAATTAAAAATTATAAAAAGAAGAGTAAAAAGTACATAAATTATGTAATTATAATCATAAATGTCTCAAATACTTGTGATATATATATATATATATATATATTTGGATATAACTCAAAATATTTTCAAATCATTTTAAATTTAAAACTAATTTCTATCAGGTCAGAAATGTTAAAGTTAAAACCCTTCTAACAAATACATTTTGTTGGGATTCATGATATATATATATATATGTTATCATAAGTCGTGCACTTATTATGTATTTTTATATTTTTCAATTTTCATAAAGAATTTTAACTCATAGCTTCAAGTAGGAGTCACCTCGTAGACTAAAAATTTAACTAATTATAGAGTTAAATGAGATTAAAGCATAATATAATTAATATTTTTGAATAGAAATACCCTTAATAAAAAATATTCATAGGCATATTATCTAGTTTCAGCCATCAATTGTGGTATTATTTGGACTTGTATTTTAGGTCTTATTTGGAATCACTTATAAATATGTTTTACATAAATCTAGATAAAATTTTTCTCACAAACTTGTATCATATTTTATAAATTATTATTAGGAAACTGTTTATAAACCATTTGAAATGGACCCCTTAGTAATTTGGATTTGTTTGTTGTAAAAAAAAAAAAAACATGTCATCCTTCATTTGAATAAAAAATTCTTTACTTTTTGGCCAAAATGGAAAGGCCCCATTTATTGAATATACTTCTCCGGTTTTTAATATAGGACCTAATTATTAAATTGGTTTTAATCATAAATATAAGACTTATTTCTTATATTTATCAATTTTCTTTAAATTACCCTTATGGATACTTTTTCAACTATAATCAAATAGAAGAAGGAGAGGGGGTATCAAGAAAAATGATTATAGTGTTTTAGAAAAGACGTGTCATATTTCTTATAATTAACTAACTTATCTAACTTTATTAATTTAATTAAATTAGTGAAATGGGTCTTAAGGACCAGAGGAGCATATAACTTACATGGAAAAATTAATATCCCTTAGTAATATAAATATTTGATAACATTATAAGAGATTTGATTAAGTCATGGACAATTGATTTGGGATCAAGCCTAATTTTGAATCATACTATATTTGGCTATTTGCAGTTTTGTGTATTCGCGACTTCGCGTGTTGTGACTCAAGGGTAAATGTGGAAATTTAGGTTAATTTAATGTGCTTTTCGTTTCAATTCTTTCCCCCTCTTCAGGGTTGCCACTTTGCTACAAAAACTAAACCTAATTTCATTCGCCTCCCTCTGCCTCCAACTCCACGGTTCAGATCCGAGGAGTTTGGGAAACCCTAGCTTAGCTTACCTTTGGAATCTGCTCTCAAGTTTCAATTCTCTCTTCTTTGCTCATCTGTTGTCTCTCTGTCGCTGCTTTACTAGCAAGCATTCAACACTCTTCCAGGTAGCATTTCTTCTCTACATTTCAGTGTCATGGGCATCGTCATTTCAACGTTTGCTCTTTAGCTTACCCCAAAGTTTGAGTGTTTGTATGAGAGCTTTAATTTCTCCAAAGGTTCCTCATTTGATATTTTTTGTTATGTTTCTCTGTAGAAAAATTAGAACGTAAATGTAATCCGAAAGATGTTTTTTTATGTTCCTCGAAGGAAAAAACTGCGCTATGGGATAATGACATTTTTGATAGAGTGGCTTTTAAGGTGATTGATTTGTTATGTCGAAATGTAGGTGAACAGTGAACTAGCTATATGTGTTGTACTTTTTCCCCCTTCGGTTGCATCACGATTTCGGCTTCTCGGTGACTTATTTTATAGATGAGTTACACTGGATTCCGGAGGTGTGGGGAAAGCGGTTTCAGACACTGAAATTTTCTGATATCCGCAGGCCCTTTAAAACTTCACCTCCTGATATTAATATTGCAGAAGTTTAATGCTTGTACTCCAGTGCAAGTGGATTGCAAGTTTGGCTCTTTTGCTATATATTTCATATGAGAGTTGCGCTATATGTGACCTAGAGATGTGTGTGGACATCTTATTTTGCGGTAACCCTTTGATTCTTCCTGTTTGTGGGCACATTTCATGAATTAGATATGCTAAACCTTGGAGGAGTGGGCAAAACAGTGTCTGACAGTGAAAGGTTTATATTCATGATTTCTGATATCTGTTGGCCCTTTAAAATCTCGCGTCCAGATATTATCTATACAGAAGTTTAATGCTTGCACTCCTTATTAAGTGGATTGCAAGTTTGGCTCTTTTGTTACATATCATCACATTATAATTTTATCATGTGTACTTGTGCTATCTACTCAAAGTTGAATAATATTTTAAAAACCTACTTTTGTAGTTATGGCAGGTTTGGCTCCCGAAGGAACACAATTTGATGCTCGTCAATATGACGCTAAAATGAATGAATTGTGAGTCAGTGTACTTCAAATTCATATTTCTGTATGCTTGTATTCATTGTTCATGTGCCTTTTCTGGGATTTTAATTTACGGCAACACAACTGCTCAGGCTTTCTACTGATGGACAAGAATTTTTTACGACCTATGATGAGGTTTATGATACTTTTGATGCAATGGGATTACAAGAAAATCTTTTGAGAGGCATCTATGCTTATGGTAATAAAGTTTTTTGCCTTTGCAGTTATCTTGACGTTATTTACATTTGCATGTTCTCATCTATTTGGTTGGAACATTCCCTTACTGCAGCCTCAGTGATAATAAACACAGGCCATGGAATATTTGTTCGGTTTGTTTCAGTCAGTTTTTCTATATTATTCACTTTCTAGAAGAACACAAAGTGGATCAGTGGGATGGAAGGAAAATCAATGTTTTCTTATTGTTTTTTTTTGGATTAATATTGCACATGTATTTTGATGAGTATCAGGGATGTATTCTTCTAGGAGGAAACTTGAATTTTGTTTTTTAAGAATTCTGCTCAGCTCTTTCACCATCATACGTGTAATTTCTGATTCTTGTTCTAAAGGTTTTGAGAGGCCTTCTGCAATCCAACAGAGGGGAATTGTTCCTTTTTGCAAGGGTCTTGATGTCATTCAACAGGCACAGTCTGGTACTGGCAAGACAGCAACATTCTGCTCGGGAATTTTGCAGCAACTTGATTATGGTTTAGTTCAGTGCCAAGCTTTGGTCTTGGCACCAACAAGGGAGCTAGCGCAGCAGATTGAGAAGGTTATGCGAGCTCTTGGTGATTACCTTGGTGTTAAAGTTCATGCTTGTGTAGGTGGCACAAGTGTTCGTGACGATCAGCGCATTCTCCAAGCTGGTGTTCATGTTGTTGTTGGAACTCCTGGCCGTGTGTTTGACATGCTGCGGAGGCAGTCTCTTCGTCCAGATTACATAAAGATGTTTGTTTTGGATGAGGCTGATGAAATGCTTTCTCGGGGTTTCAAAGACCAGGTTTGTTGATTTTCTTTATTCTTACTTGTTTGTCTCAAGTTGCCTGGCATCTTTTTCTCAATTTTCATATACACAAGGCTATTATTCTTTCAATCTGCATCCATAATCAATGGCATTTTTTGAGATTTGTGAGCTTACAGATTTAGTGTCTTTCCTGTCTTGACTAACATTTTAATTAGTATTGCAGATCTATGACATCTTCCAGCTGCTGCCAGGTAAAATTCAGGTTGGAGTCTTCTCCGCTACAATGCCTCCAGAGGCTCTTGATATTACCAGGAAGTTCATGAATAAGCCTGTGAGAATCTTGGTAAAGCGTGATGAGCTGACCCTTGAAGGTATTAAGCAATTTTATGTCAATGTTGATAAGGAGGAGTGGAAGCTAGAGACACTATGTGATCTTTATGAAACACTGGCCATCACCCAGAGCGTCATTTTTGTCAACACAAGGCGCAAGGTGGACTGGCTAACTGATAAGATGCGAAGCAACGACCATACAGTATCGGCAACCCATGGTGACATGGACCAAAACACCCGAGATATAATTATGCGTGAATTTCGATCTGGTTCTTCTAGAGTTCTGATCACTACTGATCTATTGGCTCGTGGTATTGATGTGCAGCAAGTCTCTCTTGTCATCAACTATGATCTGCCAACCCAGCCTGAAAATTATCTTCATCGAATTGGTCGAAGTGGACGATTTGGAAGGAAAGGTGTGGCTATAAATTTTGTGACAATGGATGATGCAAGAATGCTGTCTGACATTCAGAAGTTCTATAACGTAACCATAGAGGAGTTGCCATCAAATGTTGCGGATCTGCTTTGATGAGTTGGCATTTTTGTTTTTGTTTTTAAACTCATCAGGGTTTCGCTTTTTGACAAGTTTTACCATTTTATTTTTCCCTTTTTAAGATTCTTTTTACACCTTTAGAGTTCAAATTCAAGAACATCCTGACCATATTCTTTAAATGATCTCACAGAAATGGCTTCAAGTAGAGTGTCTTCCTCTCCATTCTTCCTTCCTTTGGTATAATGAACATTAGCAGAAGCTCTACTGTCGTAGTTCTTAGGGCATCTCTGATCTTCTAATTGTAAATGAAGAAATCTTAATTATTTCTATCAGATAATTGCAATATATGGAGGAACACTAACACCTACAATTTTACAGTGAGTGATGTGCAAGTATTCTTGAAAATAGACGATCATGTGAAATCATATGAGAACTCTTACGTATAAGGAATTAAAGAAAACAATAAATTTGGATCAATTAATTCATCTCAAATTGATACGCTGACCCTCGAGAAACTGTTCGATTCAGGGCCCCGAAAAAATTGCTCGAAATCAGAAACCTCAAACCATGATGAGAGGAGCCCTTGGTTCCTTTAACCTATGTATATGATAATGCGGTCGCCCATTAAATATTTGGTGTTAAGAGTTTGTCACTTGAAAGTTTTATCTGGCTTAATTTGGGTGTGAAGAGTTTGCCACTTGAAAGTTTTATCTGGCTTAATCTGGGTTAGTCCCGGTACATCCTTGATTTAAAAGTGTGCCATGCAAATGAAAGGAAATAGAATAAACGGGAAAGGATGAAATCAGAGTGATTCAGAAAAACATAATGTATTGCTTAGAGGTTTCAATAAAAAAGATATACTTAAAAAAAAATCACACTGACAACTGAACAATTGTCAATTACTGAATTAAAACTTGTTATTATAATATGCTCAATTATCATGAGACTTTAGTTGATATATTCCTTATTAAGAATCTTATAGGAATTCTCTCTTAATCTTAGTTGAGAAAATGGAGATTTCAATCATGATAAAGGAGTTTTACTAACCCAATCACATTTCCTTGCTAAAACTATGTTACACTTTTCAAAGTTTACGTAACTGAGTAGCTCACCTGTACATCCATATATTATACATGATACAAAATTTATTTTAAATAAAGGTACTATATAGTATAACTTTTTGTATAAATCACGTGACCAGTCCGTGGCCAATTTTATATTTGTAACCGATAGTACCTTGTATCTACTTCAATTATGAAGTCAAATTTTACACTTGCATATGTGAATCAAACCCAGTCTACCACAAGGAGAAAATATAGGTAATCTGAGAATTATTTCTCCAACTTTCTTATTATGTTTTATTTATGAGTCATCCTATTCTTCCACTCTCAATATATACTATTATCATCACATAAATTTGTGAGGCTGAAACTGCAATAGAAGCACAGAATATGCAAATATCAAGGCTGAGTAATATTTTAAAAAAAAAAAGGCATCTAAGATACATATGGATATAGTTAATATACTGCAAAAATATATTGAATTGATACTGTTAAATTTATTGATAATCAATACATATGGTTGTTACCATTAAAGAATTCACTTTTATTTCCATCAAATTTCAATTCAACCTTTTACGTGTCACATTTATACTAAAGATAATTACCAAAACTCCTTCTAAAAGAAAATCTTTTAGGTGGTACCAAATAACCAAAGCATTGACTGCAATACTAAAATCAAAGAAAAGAATTTTAGCCGTAATATTGCAGTATCTCACTAAACCAAGTTATAATTTCCCCAAAATCTTGCCACGTCTCCCAACACATTTTACAGTGTGGTTTATCACCATGGAATAGTCTTAAGCATGAGAAGTGACTAGACTATAAGGGTTTGTTTGGTTGGAGGGGAGGAAAAATTTTGGAGCGGAGGGGAGCTAAAATGTCCCCTTCTCTCCCTCCCTCCATTTTGACTCCCTCCAAATTGGAGATTTTTAGAGGGGAGCCAAATTTTTAGACCATTATGCCCTTATAATTTTTTCAATATTCCACTTCTACCTATAAAATATATTATTATAATATTTATTTCAAATAAAAAATATATTATCCTAAGTAAAAAAATAAAAAATATATACATTATTATAATTAAAAATATATTATAAAAATTATTTAAAAATAAAAAATTATAATATTATAAAATTAATTGTTTTTTATAAATATATTATTTATTAAATATATTTTAAAGCTGGAAAAAAAGATAGCCTAAAGAGAATAAAATTTCATTTTTCTTAGAGCATATAAAATTTTTTAATTTGATTATTTTAAATATATTATTATATTAATTAGAATAAAAAATTACTGTACCAATTTTTTAATACACATATTAACATTATCTGAATTTTTATTAAATTATATGATTTAAATTAAGATATAAATTAATTTATATAATATATCAATAAAAAACATAAACTAATATGTAAGGGTGAAATGGTAAATTGATTATTACTATCCCTCCCCTCCCCTCCTTGAACCAAACAAGGAATCATTAAATATCCTCCCTTCCCTTCCTTTTTAATCAAACCAAACAAGGTGAGGATGGAACCTCCCCTCCCCTCCCCTCCCCTACCCTACCCTACCCTACCCTACCCTACCCTACCCTCCCCTCCCCTCCCCTCAAACCAAACAGGTCCTAAAGGGTATGAACACAGGCCTTAAGCATGAGAAGTGACTAGACAATTAAGGGTATGAACACAGGCCTTAAGCATGAGAAAGTGACTAGACAATTAAGGGTATGAACACAGGCCTTTTTACTAGGCCAAAATATCAGTATAATCAGAATTCAGGAAGCCACAAAAGTGTTTCTTTATTGTGTTCTTCATATAGTGACCACTCACACTTGTTGCAGCTTTCCTCCAAAACAAAGCATAGACAACACTTCATTTCAAAAGTATGAAAGTATGAAACTCATCAGAATTTACAGAGACCAGAGATCACAAGGAGGCAGCTGCTAGTATTGTACCCTTTCATCATTGAAATGAAGACTCTCAATGCCTCTCAGAGCAGACTCGAAATTCTTAATGTTTGCTGGGCTCCTGCCAGATGATGTTCTGCTCTGCTCTACTGATACAAGAGGCGAACTTCTTTGAGCACCAGAGATTTTACGCAGTGCTCCTGGACTGGCATCAACAGCAAGAGGGCGAGAGGGCTCGGTCTCATTGCCAACAATAGTTGCATCCCGGCTGCTAGAAACTGCAGCTCGCCTTGAAGATCCGCTTGGGCGGAAAAAATTAGAAGCAGACAACTGAAGAAAAAACAAAGAAAATTGCAGTATGAGAAATTAATTTACTGTAAGAAAAGTTGTAATTTTACCAGCGGGACTCCAAGTTTGTAGCTAAAAAATATCATAAGCCAACTAACCTGACATCACATTCAATTATAGGATAGATTACTTAAACTAAAAATTAAACAGACTGCATTCATTTTCTGTCCAGAACACATGAATACATTCACATTATATCATTCTTAAAAATTTATTGCAGCAGGTCCAAACATGCCAATTCCGCATAACCAAACGAAAGTTGAATTGTATATCACTTGCACGTTTTGAGCTTCGTCTGTGCACATACGCACAATGATCATGTCGTCACCAAAATATAAAGTTGCAACTTTACACCTTCATATGTTTTTCTTCCTTGGAAGACATCTGTATTCCTAATAAATACTCACTTCTTCTATTTGATCCGTGGGTCGGTTGGGAACCAATATTAATGAAAAGGAAGAGATTAAGTTAACACAGGGGAAACTGCCACCTTCCAAATTTCCAAAAAGACAGACAAAGATTCTTTACAGTCCACAATAAAATATACGCACCATTCCGTCTTTTGATATATTTGAGTCACTTGGAACTGGGGCTTTTTGTCTAGATAAGATGACATCGTTAGCAATAGGTCCTGAATTTCTCCTACGAGTAGGATCTGATGAAGACCAACCAGGGTGTCTGCCGTCTTCCCCACCTATAATTGAGTTTACCATATGAAAAAATTCACATTACGAGAGGGCATGCAAAGGCCAAGTGAAGTCAAAATAATCATTATGTGATTTAAGTTACCCTCACCCTGCCGACGTTTTAATATTTTTATTCACTTGCAATATAAGTCAAACATGAGTCGCATATTAGAAAAGCATCTAAAAGGAATCTGATATATAGGTATATATGTAAGCATGCAGATCTTAAGAAACATAAGCTATTTCATTCTAACAAGGTGCATCATCTGAAAACATTTTTATCAAGATAGAAAGATAGATAATACATAGGGGATGTACAAAGAAAGGGTAGAGAATATATACCTAATTGTCGATCAGCATTTGCAACAACTGGTGGCATGCCAGAACTTGGTCCAGCACCAGGAACCTACAAATGTCATTTCTACTAAGACAAACTAAACTCAACATGAAAGAGACAACAAAATCAGATAGCAAAACATCACTTACAATAGCACGTCCAGGAGGAGTAGCAATATGGGATTGCTGATATTTCAAGATGGTCCAATCAAAGACATAATCAAACTGGAATCCTGAAGGGGAAAAAAGTATAGTTAAAACACAACCATCTACATCACAAATGAAATGCTGTCATAAAGGATTATTCTGCAATCAAATAAGATAGAAGATAGAAAACGATTAAGAATTAAACCTTCACGAATGAAAAGGTCACGGAAAAGTCTTTTCAGATAAGCATAGTCTGGCTTATCATCGAAACGCAGAGATCGACAGTAATGGAAGTATGATGCAAATTCAGAGGGATATCCACGACAGAGAGACTAGCAAAAAAGCAATGCAAATTCATTATAATTGTCTTTTTTCAAAGAAACGTACATAATATGCATCAAATACTATTTTAACTCAAGACTTTACCTCAATAGAAGTCGAAACTTTCTTCTCACTGATCTTCTCATACTTCTGCTTCTTATTACCAGCTTTCAGTCCCTGCCAAGGAAGACTGTAAAAGTACAATGTCAAAACTGATTGCATAGGAGGTGGCAGAAATTTAAAATGACACAAGCACAAGAACCTTTACCTTCCTCTTAAAAAGTACATGAGAACGTATCCAAGTGACTCTAAGTCATCCCTGCGACTTTGCTCTATTAAAGCATCAAGGACATTCTCAAAGGTCAGAATAAATTCTCCAGTTCAGTTAAAAAAAAGGAATACATGCAGCCCTACCAATTCCAAGATGAGTATTCATGCTAGCATATCTAGCAGTTCCTGTCAAATTCTTATTCTCTCTGCATAGAATAACAAGCATGTCAAAATCCACGAAACCACAAGAGCAAATTGTACATCAATACACGAATTTTGATTCATATTTTATATTTTGATTATATACGTTGTTATTGTAGAATAGTCATGCATATATAACACCAATGTGCCCCACACGTGTTATAGCAAACAGAGGCTCACTAGGAATGAGAATGGTAACAGCAATAGAACAGTAAAAGAGAAATGTCGGAATATTCTAAGAAACCATACTAACTATTATGCATGCTTAAAATAATAGACTATTACATAAACCTAAATACATTCAGGGCAGAATGCGAGCTACACTAGTTTCGCATCTTCACCACAGAAGCCACCATTCTGACGGGAAAAAAATCAACATTGACATAGACCAGCTTAAATTGCCACATGCAGATACAATAACTATATTCCAAAATCACTAAAACGGTCAAAAGTTAAAACATTTTAAACTGAAAACTATGGCATTGGGAAAAAAAAAAAATACACAACTGAAAATCTACCTGTAAGGAATATGCTGGTGGGTAGAAGTGTCTCTGTATTTCTTTGCAAGACCAAAGTCGATGACGTATACCTACCAATGAAGTAAATTTCAATACAGATAACATATAAAAGATGACAGGTTCTGAAAGAAGGAATAATTACAAAAATAAAGCATTGAACCAATACCTGGTTTGCACGCCTTCCTAAACCCATGAGAAAGTTGTCCGGCTTGATGTCCCGATGTAAAAATGATTTAGAATGAACAAATTCAACTCGATTTATCTGAAAACAGTTTGTATCATTGCAAAGAAATGAGTAACTAGAAGTTGCCATAAAGATGTCCGCACAACACTGGAAATCCTACCATCTGATCAGCAAGCATTAGAACAGTTTTAAGTGACAATTTCCGACCACAAAAATTGAACAAATCTTCAAGACTGGGCCCCAGTAAATCCATCACCAGCACATTGTAGTCTCCTTCAACACCAAACCATCTAACATTTGGGATTCCGGCTGTCAATAGAGGCCAAGCAGAAAATATTTGAGATTAAAATTTGTAAGCGAATTTTATAAGAAACAAAAAATATATAGAAGGCAGAATGTCGTCATTACTTCCTCCTTGCAGTATTTTATACAGCTTTGATTCATACAACAACTGAGGGTGTTTGGTCTTGACATTTTCCTGATTTAAAGGGCAAAATAAAGAAAAAGCATGAGTCCATGCCTCAGAAGCAATTTACAGCAATGGATGATTAATTCAAGAATTGCAGATACTGGATACAGCTGTAAATGTATTCTAAAATCAAAGAAAAAATACGAATAATAGAAAGTTTAAAGTTCCTGAATTATGTAAGATTGTACTAGATTTAAGGATGTTGTTATGTATGTTTCATGCCCAAACTATGTGGGTAAAAAATCATTGAACTACAATGATATTAATTTTCATAAAATTAGAACATTTGGCATTCGAGTTTAACTAGGTTCATTAAACCAAGCCAAATATAACCCAAGCGTCCAGACCCAACGAAAAATATTGAAGTGCAGTCATGTTTCATCTGGTTGCTGGAGTAGCTCAATTAAGAAATCACAGCAGAGGACCATTAAGCGCGGGCAGATTCTAAAGAAATGTACCAAGAGTTTAAGCAAAATTATCTCTCATCAACATTTGGCACATTGGTTGTTTCAATTTTACACATGCATCTATTTTTACGGCGTGACACAATACCATGATTCACATTTCCCAGAACCACATGTAAGGAACAGCAAAATTACATCCTAATTAGTCCAAGGCACAGCTAGACTAACTATTGCCTATCAACCATTTGCGAAGAGTAGATCCTTAATTTTGCCAAATGGCAAAGTAAGCTGCAACAGCGAGAATTGAAGTAGGTTATAGTACTCACGAGCTTAATTGCGACCTCTTCATTTGTCTGAATATTAGTACCTGGCAAAAGGATCGAAACAAGTCAGCAAAAAATACACAAAATCACATAAAAAATGGGAAAACCAAAAAGCGGCAGAAAAAACAGAGCACCAAGATAGATCTCCCCAAAAGATCCGCTACCAATCTTCCGGCCAAGACGAAATTTGTTCCCCACTCGAGGCTCCATTCAACAGAATTTGATCAACGATCAGGTCTAAACCCTGGTACTAAATTACAACTAAAAATGAAAAAAAGTTTGGAGACCAAACACTGGAAAGAAAAATTAAAACCGAAAAATGGAAAATCAAGGATTAGGCGCTAGACTTGACAGACGGCTTCAAGTGGCAGCTATAGCAAGGAAATCGAAGGTGCGGGGATAAGAAAAAGGATAGAAGTGAGAAAAGGGAAAGAGTGGAGGACAAAATCGGAAAGAGAAAAAGAACTTTCCTTTTCTATAACATGCTTGATTGGAAGAAATAGGGTCCGTCGTACCAAAAAAAGGAAAAAAAGGAAGAAGGAAGAAATAGAGTCCGAAAAGGGAAGAGGGGAGAAGAAAGAGAAGGGATCCTATTCCTCAGCTCCTCGCAATGCACAAACCCTCCCCGCACTTCAATGCGAATGCGAAATTTCTCGCTGCTTTGAAGATGCAGTCAACCAGATTTTTTTCCCTTTCCCCCCTAGTGCAGAGCTTCGTTTTGCTTGACGTCTTGGTATTTCAGGGTCCACAAATGAAAAAATAAAAGGAAAAAACAGAAAAAAGTTTTTCATTAAAAATGTTATTGATCAGAATGATAATATCAATATCCTTCATACTAATAAAATTGATAGAATTGTAGTGAGGTCCAAAAAATTTATTAAAAAATTCTAATAACAATCTAAGTACTAAAAAACTTATAAGCTTCGGAATAAAAATGATAATTTTTATATTGTGTAATTATTTTTTTTTAAAATCTCATTATATCTTCTAAAATTTTAATGGCAAATTATTTTTCTAATTTTTCTTTTTTAATTAATTTTCAATAGGCTTGCATAGCATCATTCGATGTTGTTTTGGGGAGGAGAGATTTTTCTTCCATCTACATTATTACTGGAATTTTCAATTTTCAAGTTTCTTTTTTTTTTTCCCCTCTACCGTACTAATTGGAAGTTTCAAGTTGATTTTTCCCCTTTTCTTGAACGGGAAACAACTATGCCGCTTAGTGTGTTTCCTTTTTAAGATACTTCTAGAAGCAATGCTCTGCTACACAGTCAACTGGATATAAGATCACTTGAATTGAATCATAACCATCTGACTTGAGAATTAAATAAATCTGATGAATCAAGAATTTAGCAAAATGTCAACCTCTTTAACTAACATATACAACAACTCTAGTTGCTTTTCCATAATAATGAATGGAACTATCAGTCTGTAAACAAACAAGTATACGCAGGATGTTACATACAACAGCTCCCTAGCTTTTCCTCAACGAATGGGACTTCGCTTCAGATAACCTATTTATAAGCAAACCAATAGAAGCAGGGAAAAAAAATAACGAAAAAAGGAACTAGAGAGAGAGGGAAAAAATTGAGCAAGCCTAAAAATTTCCTACCCTATTAAAAAAAAAATATTTATAAGTTTCTTGATGGTGACAAAGCACCCATGGATGATTGCTTCTTCTGCAGCCTTCCTTTCAGCTGCCTGATCGTGGCTTCAACTCTTGCTGTGAAACCAATCTTTGTCTCCTGTCTGGCCTTAGACCTTTCCCTAGTCCACATGTTTTGATCTTCAATGTCCTTCTTATAATACTTAATTTCTTGGATGATGTGATGATCCATCGGATTAAAACATCTTTGGAAGGATATGTGGGTGAGATAAGGAAGATTGCAGGTCACTGTTACTAAAATGGTTGCTATCCAATACACAGGTGCAGGGCCAAGAACTTCAACTAATATTTGGTAGGCATTCTTGGAATAGTATGGAGAAATCGTGCCATATAGCAAGAGAAATAGGTACCATGTGGTTACACTGCCCCAGACCAACAGGTGTTGGATCCAGGTAAAATGGTTCATTGTCAGGGCAATCTGAAGATTGACAGCCCAAATGATGCAAGTGAACATTGTTGTACCGACAGCTGCCATGTCAGCATTCTGGCCATCTGCGCGGAATGCTTGATCATAGAAGATGATGACGTTAAGGAAGAAGATGATAAGGGACGAATAGAGACCATTGCCCATCCATCCCAATATTCTATACCAGTCAAAGAACAAATTTTTGGGTCCTTGCTGGTAAAGTGCGGGAAACTGCAAAAAGCAAAAAGTGAATCATGAGAATGCAGGGTTACCAAAACCTAGACGAAATACAATCAAGGCATTTTAAAGGGATGAACCTGCAAGCAGACTTCTGATGAAACATCTTGTTCAAAAACACCGAGTGAGATGACAGGTAATGATGTTAGAACAACGTTGAACAATAACATGTACCAGTCATCATAAACTGATTGCCCAGAGAAACCCGTAAAGGCCTCAAAATAGAATATGGTCAACCCGAATGCTATATTTTTGTAGAAAAAGTAGCATATCTGCATGAACAACAGATCAATCAGAGGAAAGATGGGGACCAACTCATAAGATGAAGACACACACAAACTGGGGGGAGCAAAGAATGGGTAAAACATGAATACCATTTGTGCAATTCTCTTGTAACACCAGTGTCCATGGACTACCAGAAGACGCTCCAAAAACCGAAATTGGGCAATGGCAAAGTCACTGGCCATCACTGCCTGAAAAGGAGTTCCAATTTTTAGTCTCACAAACTCCAAATGTTCACATGCTTCCACAGAAAAGCTTTTATGTGAATTTTCTTACCAGGCAGCCAAGGATGAAAGTGAGAATTAAAGAGTATTCACGGTTGGGTCCTAAATTTGAACTATAGTACTCTTACTCTACATGAGACTATTAACGTAACACTGAAAATTGCTTCCAGAAATGCTAGCCAGTTCTCTTATGAAAGAAAACATATAACTTAATTTAAAATGTGATCAGATGACACTTTCCATGCAGCTCATTTCAAAGCAAGAACAACAATTTTGAGTAAACAGCATAAAGAGAAATTGCTTTTTCAATATAATTCTCACTATCAAAATTTTAAACATCAGTTCGAGGCCAGTCTGAATGTTTATTTTCTAAATAAACATTGAAAAATGAATATTTTGACATTTCAGTGAAGGACAAAAAAACACATGACTAAAAGTCGCTAATCAGGTCTTGACTGTTAAAGTGCTAATGACAGGTTAATAGTTTAACTAATGGGCAAGCAAGAGTGAAGCATGTAAACAAACATCATATCCCAAACATGTAAACAACCATCATAGTTAGGTATTCTCTCTAACTAATTCCCATTTTAAAAAATATCAAGAGTGAAGCACATGATGTTGCAACAATAACAGTTATATTTTATAATACAAATAAATGCAGCGAAAACTCCTCCTGACATAATCGTGCCAGAACTGCCAGTCAGGTATGTCACTAACCTGCATACCTTCAACTCCACTAATACCAACACCAATATCCGCTTCTTGAATCATGCCAACATCATTTGCACCATCGCCTATTGCTAGAGTGGTCTTCCCAGTTCCTTCCTTCACCAACCTTGTTACCTGAAGCCAAAGGATTATTAGACATTGCAGTCACAACTCTGCACGATTGAATCCCTGAAAATATTTGCTTTGATTGGCCTTAACTTTTTCCTATTCATCTCAAATAAATAAATGGTGTAGCTGAACACACTTGTGACCCTAACCAGTGTTATAGTAGTAGCAGTATTCATACTAAGTATCAACTATCCAGATGCAGAATATCCATGTGTGAGTGTGTGCCTTTTATATGCACAAGTGGCAAAGGAGAAAAGATCCTACCAGAGCCTTTTGCTTGGGAGACACGCGACAGCAGATGACAGATGCACATTCTACTGCCAATCCCAGAAACTGGTGCTTCATATCATCTTCCAATGTATATGTCAGAGTTTTACCATCAATAATTAATGCAAATGCAGCATGGGGATCTTTCTCCAGCTTGATCATTTGTGAGGCATTGCTGATTTGGTTCAGAATGTTCTCCTTGATGGCCTGAGCAATAAAAGGACTTAAGTTGAGATCAGATGAACTTAAGTCCGTTAATTTAATTCCTCTATTCTTTGTCAGTGACAAATACCTCTTTTCCACCGTTGGTTAATGAATCTGAGTTCATAGTAGTTATACATATCTGCTTCATGCCCCGTCGAAGCAAACTACAAGCAAATCTGCACCAGAGATTAAAAAGTCAATTGTACTTGTTTATAGAGGCAATTTTCATCAAGTTCAGAACAGCGATGTAGTTGTGCGTTAGACAGACCCAATGTTGATTGCAGTTTCCATCTTATCTCCAGTTAACACCCAGATCTTAAGACCAGCTTGTGCAAGTTTGTCAATGCACTGGGGCACCTGAGAAGGACAATTAAGTGAAAATTGGTTTAAGTAGACCAACAGTAACATATGCATATTGACTATAAGGAATGACAAAACCTACCCCTTTCTGCAGTTTGTCTTCAACAGCAGTAGCTCCAACAAGAATCAACTCCCTCTCCATTATATCTGATAACCGTTCAAGTGTTTCCTCTCGGTCAGACCCAACAGCTGCTTTGGCTTTCTGGAATTCATTATTCCAAGCAGAGTACTCTTGCTCATCAAGTTTTCTATAAGCCAAGGCTAGTGTTCGCAAACCAGATTCTCCATATTCATTTAAATGTCTAGTAGTAGCCTCCAAATATGTTTTTCCATTCTTTGCCAATCGATCAAATATAATACTACAAAGCCACAAAGAGGACAGAATATGAATGGCAAAGTTTAAAGAGAAATGTTGAAAATCTGTGCAGAAGTGTGTGTTCATGTCAGCGAACTTCTCATTAGGAAGTCAGGAGTTACTGCGATTAATCATGTAAACTAGTAGAAGGGAAGTTTAAACCCTGCCAAGCTTCAAGAGGATTCAAACTTCCCCCATCATAATTTAAATGCTGATCATAGGCCCTACTTGATTGCAAACATCATACATTCAGCTGTCAGTATTTAGGACAGGAAACACAGATTCCATAATCTAACCTGTCTGCCCCCTTGCACATGAGAAGAATGTTTCCGTCCTCATCACGTACAACTACAGACATCCGTTTTCTTTTACTAGTGAAGTCCAACAAATTCAGGATTTTGTACTCCCTGCATAATCCATCAAAAACCCACCAAAACAGATTTAAATAATAATGATACAACAACTAAAAGAGCTGAAAGATGTATGAGCATATATTGAACCCCTCTCCTCCCAGCACCCCCCACCCCTCCTTTTTCTGTAGAAAAGCAGAGATAAAGAGAAAATGACAGACACAAAGGAGTTCATATATGACCATGTCACCTTTCAACTGGATGTCCAGAAGGAGACAGTCTTTCACGGATGAAAATACTCGATTGATTCCTTTTACAAAACTCAAAACCAAATTCTCTGGCAGCTGCAAGAAAAGCCCCCTCATCAGGTGATTCAGCTTCATATGTAAAACTGCCAGTCTCCTCATTCAGCTCGGGAATGGCAGTATGGCAAACTGCCAATATCCGGAAAAAACAACAAATGAACATCAGGATTGGCCTCTTTCAACCAG